GAGCCTTGTGGGTTTTTTCGGCTGCCAGCTTGCAAACCTAAGCCGCGCTGCCGTGTTCTTTTTAGAGAGAAGAGGCTTTGTTCTGGGAACTCTTCCAAACAAGCTGCACTTGTTCAGTCTTTTTTTTACTTCAACTGTCATGAACTTTAACATTTAACAACTAACTGAGGCCTGTATAGTCCGTCCACTCACTGAAAGATTGTTTTGACAGAGCTGAATACTTCAGACCAGCAAACTGCCAAAACTCAGCCGGTCAGTTGATCAGTTAATCAAATATGGAAGTAGTAAGGGTAAACTTAGTTTTTCACATGATTACATAGAGTCCTGTGAAAGCTTTTTACCCCACAGCTGTAGTTTAGTTCAACAAAGAAGTCATGTTTGCTCTGCACAAGTACAGGTCGATAGTGAAACGGCACAGGGAGACATCCCTGAAGGGCAAAGAGAGTGAATTTAAACCAGGTAAGGTGTTTGCTTTTCATAGGCAGAATCACAAACCTTGGTAATCGCTCTTCATGGAGGACTTTCATGGTTATTTTCATGACTTTTTGCTCAGAAACAAACTGTTACGTCATCTTTTCTTGATTTATTTATTATCTTTGTCATCTACTATTCAGGAGTAATACAAAATTAACAACCACTTTATTATCTCACTAAAACCACTTTACTTAGTTTGGTTCCTCCACATTTGACAAGTTGCAGCTCATTTAAGATAAACAGTGAATGAGTCAGTGAGTAGATCCGGTACAACGCCTCCAAAGGTTTTTCATCGCGTCATGTTTTAAGACATAAAATACAATCACAGTGTTGAGCGATTGAGCCAAGGAGCCTGAGTGTTAAAGAAAATCCTGGGGTGCAGGCCCACGCATGATCAATGGCATTTCACTCCCAGTGGGCTTTCTAAATACGACTGGGTTTTCTGAAAGGGCTCAGTCTCGAGAGGCCCCATTAAAGATGACAAGAGAGGACTGACGGGTATGGCACTCACACAGACATACGTACACACACAATTCTCCTGCAACACGTGCACCTGTTTTCAGGTGCGCATAAGCACACACTCTTACTAAGTCAAATTTGTGCTCACGGTCACTCTGATGCACACACCGGGTTTGTTCTTATTATTTTCTCTTCCTTTCTTTCTTTTTTTTTTTTCTCTCAGACACACACAGTCAGCAGGAGGTGAGTAGCGTGGCTTGGAGATAAGACTGCTATCAGACCTTCATCAGGAACAGCTGCACTCTCATCTGTCTCAGCAGCCCTTTTCTTTATCAGTTCCATCAACTCGTCCTCCCTGTGCTCTCTCTGTCCTCCTCCTGTCTTTGTCCATTATATTTGAGACGTTAGAGGCTTACTTGAGTTCTAAAGGAAACACTATATTATTTTATAGATATTTGAAAGGCACAAGGCTTTACTTTGAATTGAGGGATATAATTTGACAGTGCTATTAAAAAATGCAAGGCCAAACCATGTGAATAATCCTGAGGCTTCATGCAGCTTGAGTCTTGCTTGTCAGAATGTGTAAGCTTCTACTTTCAAATTCTCACTGTAATCATAGGCTTATATATCTTATATATCTCAAGATATGATAAAAACACAATCTGTCCTTAGCTAGTCTTAAAATCAGATCAATACAACCTCAAATGAAGTATAAAAGACGGCCTGTTACACCATGTCATGATTTATTTATTATCTAACCCCGATTCTGTTTCCATCCAAATTAAGAAGGTAAGTAGCAGCCAGGCGCTTCTAATCAGATGCACTTAATTAATTGATGAGCAGAAAATGTGATCACCTCAATGAAAGAAGATGTTTTACTATTTTGCTCATCTGCTGTCTGCTATGGTGGGAGCTTAAAAATCTTATAAACGCCTGCAAACCTCAATGACATAAAACAGCGTTGTAAAGTCCAGAAAACAATGACCTTAAGTTATTGCTGCTAAAGATGTTAACTTAGTTTTTCCACACACTGCTTCTGCATTTTGGCTTAGTTTGTTCAAATGAATGACACACAGTAATATGCCATGTGTTAAGGTTAGGTATTTACCTAAAATAAAGACCTGCTAAGGACGACATATTTCCTGATAATTTTGCATTAATACCTTAAAATTAATAGAGGGTCATTTTTTAAAATTTACATTTACATTATTACATATTAATGACACAAAGATAAAAAAGAGACATGATGGATTCCACTGGCAACAAAAAATGCAAAACAATTTCAGCCATGTAGAGTTATGGGTCTGCAGATTGCACAGAGTAAGAAAAACAATAATGTGATGGGAGCACTAGTATATATTACTTTGCTATAAGAGTAATGTATTCGTTTTTGTGTATATTTTGGGTGTCACCTTTCTGTGATCAACTCATTTCTCTGTTGCTTTAAGCCAGTGAACCCAAAATAGGATTTCTGTTTTAGCATTTAATAGAACAGGATTGTTTACTTTTCAAGAATATTTCCCATCTAGAAGTGCTGAGAAATGCACACAGAGGATGTTAGAGGGTTAAAGAACAATTTGAAACATTTCTTGCTGGAATGAGATTTCAATTTGCTGCTGAAGATTAGAAGTGAGTCAGCAGTCGTGTCTGCAGTGGGAAGGTCATTCTACAAATGTAGAGTCTGTAAAAAAGAAGAAAGTTTATTTATTTTTTTGTTTTCGCACCATTAAATGAAGCAGAAGCACCACAAAAACGGGGAAAGACAACATAAAACTGTTCCCGATAAACAAGAGAAGTGACCACTAGGGGTCACTTCTATATTACCCACCATTAAAACGGTATTACTATACAGAGATTTTGCACTATTCAATACATTGCATGACAGTCATATATGCCTCATTATGGTATCTGTTCAAGTGCAGAATAAAAAGCAGTAGAACGTTTAATCAGGGCAGTTAAATGGCTTCTTTAGCCTGAAGAGATTCTTGAATGCATATTTGATGAACATTTTCATGGTACTGTGCAGATCAAAACAGCTCATGTGGCATTTTGATGTTGATGGTGGTGGAGAGTGTTGTCTAATATATTTCAAATTGTCCTGCATAGTGCTCACTTGGGTTGAGACCTGTGGGCTTTCAAAGCCATAACATACATTTGACATTTTTTTCATAATCAACACGTTCAATGACCTTTAATACCCCATGGAATATATTGTCATCCTGGGAAAAAAATGATCCTTCTCCCATCAGAATAGAAGGCTTCAGCATGGGAGAAAGGTGATCAGTCAGAACAGATTTGTATTGATTTCCCTCTAAAGGACAAGTGGACCTAAACTGTGCAAGCAAAATACCCCTCACAGCATAGCAGAGCCACAAGATGCTCTCATTGGAGGGGCTCTTGTTCCTTTAATTTGTCACCAGTCTGTAACTATTTTACAATAAAACCTGCAGCACCTTGGGTATCTCAGTGGTTTAGTTAAGGTGTGATGTCCAGTGTTGGTCAAGTTACTTGAAAAAAGTAATCAGTAACTAATTACTGATTACTTCCCCCAAAAAGTAATCCCGTTACTTTACTGATTAC